TAAAGATGAGTAGAGTAGGAGAGAGGTTGAGGAATTAGCAGCCAAACCCGACTGCCTTCGGTTTCTATTTATAGGGCTGATTTTTCGATTTTCACGTCGTGAACCCTTATTTCACGTCGTGAGCTTGGTCAGGCATATGTCATCACGTTCGTCATCAGTCCACTTGCTCCAGAAGACAGTTCACGTCGTGAACACTATTTTCACGTCGTGGTCTCTGACACAGCTTTGGGGTTAGCGCCCCGAACTTCAGAAATTCATAACTTTCGCATACGAGCTCCGTTTTCGACGTTCTTTATATCCACGCGTAGGTGAGATTATGCTCTACAACTCTGTTTAGACTTCGTCGACTAATTTTGACTCTATTTTTAATATATTATTAATATATTATTTTTAGTAGGCCGGGACAGGAAAACTCCGTTAGAAATTCATAACTCCTTCATCTGACGTTTGTTTTCGACTGTCTTTTCACCGTTGCACTACTATCAACGAGATCTTCGATTATCGTTTAGATTGTTTCGGCTAGAACTCTCTCGATCTCAAAATCGAACTTCAGGCTGCATACTGCTAAGCTGAAACTTAGAAAAATCATAACTTCCTCATACGAAGTCAGATTTGGACGTTCTTTTTATGCACACTCTCGGTTTAACGTATTCTACGACTTTCATTTAGATCGCTAAGGCTAAATATTGCTCTATCGTAAATTCACTATTTACGTCGCGCTGTGTCGTGCCGGTTCTGTCGTGAAACTTCGACAGGTCATAACTTCTTTGTTATAACTCGGATTTCGGCATTCTTTATATATCCGGAATCCTTGTCACTAGGGATGTTATTCGGGCCAGAACCGAACCGAACCGACCCGAACCCGAATAACCCGAGAACCGAATAAGGGTATTTGTATGAACCGAAAACCGAACCAAATAAGCAATACGGGTTCGGTTGGGTTCGGGTTTTATTCGGTTCGGTTCCGGCCCGAATAACCCAAATAACATGTACAAGATGATTAATGACCTATTATTATTGTATAACCCAAATAACCCAATTAACATTTACAATGTGATTATAACTATTGTATTTTGTATGACTTTTGTATTTTATGATTTCATAACAAATCTTTTAAAGAAACAAATTTGTTAATTAAAAATAATACAAAGTATATATAATTGTTCCAAAGGTGCAAAAAGAGTTAGAATTTGTGAACTAAGAATATAAACACGGATAACATGGATTAACTATTCTTGATTAAAATGTAAAATACAAACACCAAAATCTTAAGATATAGAGCAACATATTAAACACTAAACATTAAACACCAAAAACATCCAAAAATCTATATATAAGTATATAAGTTAAACATTAAACATTCGTTGTGTAGAATTCCTAATGTATTTAACGGCCTTTTGCATGCACTTGATACTAGATTGGTGTTGATCAAACCCATCCCTAACAATAAGGTTAAGGATGTGGGCCATACACCTTACGTGTAATTGTTTCCCCCCATCATACAAGTTTGGTAGTTTTTTCTTTAGAATTTTGATTGCTTTATCATTCGAACTAGCATTGTCTACGGTTATGGTCATTACGTTAGTGATACCCCACTCTTGAAGACAAGTCAACAACGTGCGCCCAATGTCTTCTCCCCTTATGACTATCTAGAGATTTAAATTTGATAATTCTTTTGTGCATGACACAATCTTCATCAATAAAGTGGGCCGTGACCACCATATAGCTTGACCTTTGACATGAGCTTGTCCAACAATCGGTGGTCAAATGCACATTACTTAAGGGATTACTAAAAAACTTAAACAACTTAGCCTTTTCTTCAAGATAGTAATCGGTGACTCTATTTGAAATTGTGGTTCTACATGGCAAAACTACTTTTCCGTTCAATGCATTTGTATACTCAACAAATGATTCATTCTCTACAAACTTGAACGGTAATTCTCCAACTACAAATAAGTTTAACAAAGCTTTTTTTATTCATTTCTCATCATGTTTCCAAGTCCCAATACTATTCTCCCCGTTTTCATTTTTTTTGAAATTTAAAGTGGTTTGGTTTTCTACTTTTTTTTTCTAAATTTTTTGGGTTCATTTTACATCTTTCCGTATGTCTAATCATACTAGAAGTACCGTTTCCGCCGGATTCGGTTTTGAGCAAAGTTCCACACTTTTTGCATTTGCTATATCTAACTTTGTCAATATGAATTACATCATAATCGGCCCAACAAGCCGCCCTTTGGACATATTTCCTTTTCTTCGGCTTTGTTGCTTGACTTGTTCCTTTAACTTGAGTGTTATCAACAAACAAATCTTCATCATCAATCTAAAGCACAATAACAAAATCATATTAATATAATAGAATAGTAATATAGGTTCTTTAACATTTAAATAGATTCATCAATATGGAATGAAACAAGTAAAAGAACAAATATGGTTGTTTTCTCCATTAAATTCTCTCATTCAAGGTCAAATTCCCCATTGCTTGGACTTATAGAGAAAATGTTAACTGTTAACATAACACACTCAAATTTCAATTGATAACATACATAATAACACATTGAATGATTGAAAGATTGAGTAGTAGATTAACACATTTAAATTTCAATGAGTAACATACATTGATACATAATAACACATTGAAAGAGTGAGTAATAGATTAAGATACAAATACTTACTTGAGTTTCTTGAATTGGAACCCAATTCTCCATGACTTGAATGGAGTTTGATCACAATAGAGACTAGAATACGAAAGATTGAGTAGACGATTTTTTTTCCAAGAAGCAAGGGCCGATTTTTTTTATCGTGAATGAAGTTTGACGTTCAAGGCAGTAGACTGTTGGATGATCGATCAAGGCAGCAGCCTAAAGTTCGCAACTCGCAAGTAGGGATGAGAAAAACACTCGATCGATCAAATACTCAGGTCGTCGATTTGTCGATTGCTTTGATTTTTTGTTTCCAGGTTACGTGGATATTGGGTATTTGGGTTACGAACTTACGATGGATTGAACACGATAGTACAAGACCGAATAAGCTATCGATCAAGGGAAAAATGTGACTTTTCAAATTCGGTTCGGTCCATTTGGCCCGAATAAGCCCTTATTCGGGTAACCCGAACCGAATAACCCGAAACCCGAATAAGCCTAATATAGATACCCGAAAACCGAATCGAATTGCTTATTCGGGCCTAATTCGGTTCGGTTCGGTTCGGGTTTCGGTTCGGTTCGGGTTTTCGGGCCAAATTCTCATCCCTACTTGTCACGACCACTACAACTTAGTTAAGATTATTCATTCTAAATAATATTCTATCAAAAAGTCATTTTTGATGCTCATTGTCTCTAAATTGACTAGCCCGGATCTGCGGACGTTACAAGTACGCCCCGCGTACTAGCTAGGGACCAAAAAGATATACATTTTGCAATAAGGGGCTAAAAGGAAATTTACCAAATTACGAATGTTACATTATATGCCTTAGATTTGAATAAGGAGTGTTGTGTTGATGATAAGTGGGTATATGAGAGGTGGTTTTTTCTTGGCATCGTCCTTTTCGTGAAGGAGAAGGTACGACTTCTCAATTGGCGGATCTTGTGGATTTATTGAACCAAGTACATCTTAGTAATTGTCCATATAAATGGGAATGGGAAAATGGTGCGAATTGGAGTTTTGATGTAAGCAATATCAGAAGACATATTGACTATTTTATTTTGTAGGAAGATAAAGTCCAAACTAGATGGTGTAGATTGGTTCTTATAAAGCCCAATGTGCTTATTTGGCAAATTCTTCGTGATAGGTTACCGACTAAAGAGAACTTGGTGATCAGAGGCATAAATATTCATTCTATGTTATGTCCTATGTGCTCTCTTCAGAGTGAAGATTGTAGTCATGTGTTTGTGAAATGTGAAGTAGCTAATTAGATATGGAATAAGGTTCTCAAGTGGCGGGATCTTCCGTTTCCGTTGTTCCATAATGTGTTGGAGTCGTTACTTTGGATTGAGGTGAAGTTAAAGAAGAAAAAGAAAAAGTGGTAGATGTTATTTGTATCATGATTCTCTAGGTGTTGTGGCAATATCAGAAAAGTGTGGTGTTTCAAACTTTAAAGATGCAAAAGAGTCATGTTTTTTAAAGTATTGTTATACATGTTTTCAATTGGTTTTCGAATAGGAATAACAGATGTGAAATTTCTTGATTTGAGTGGTTGAAAAATATCTGATTCTATGTAATTGTTTTTTTTCTTGCTAGCTTTTTGCTAGTGGTGTTTTTTTTATAAAATTTAGGTGTTAAAAAGTAGTATTAATATCAAAATCAATAATAATAATAATAACTAGAAAGGTTATCCCCGCTACGCGGGGGCCAGAAGCTTTCAATGTTGTTTCCGAATTGATAAATATGACAGACATAGAAAGTGCAAGGATGAAAAGTCCGGGCTTTGCCCCGGACAAAAAATGTAAAAGTTTTGACTGCAAGGACCAGAAGTGTGAAAATGGCTAAAGAATTAAAAGGGTAGGAATTAGCAACTTTTTAGAAAAGGGATCAAAGTTGTCAAACCGTTAAAGTTTTGTGGCCAAACTTTAAATATTAAAAGGTTCCAAAAAAGTGTAAAAATATTTATTGCAAGGACCAAAAGTGTCAAAATGGGTAAAGAATAATGAGCAAAGTTGCCAAAAAACATCCAAATTTAGTATTCCTAACTTCCAACAATAATACAGGGACAAATTCTGCCAAAAAAATGGGAAGTTGAATGGAACACAAACAAAAGGACATGAATAAATTAATTAAAAAAGTACAGGGACTGGATATGTAAATCAAGGGACCAAACCTGGACAAAGTATGCCAACTTTACTATTCCTTTCTTCCACAACTTTAATATATATATATATAATAATAATAATAATAATAATAATAATAATAATAAAAGTAAAACAAAAGTAAAATACACTTAATTAGTTTTATCATAAATATGACAGGATTATAGGAATGCTAACCCTTTCCAATATATGTTTGAGCGTATTTACTTTTTGGAAAGCACATCCCGCAAAACTTGCCTGAAGATTTTATACTTGTCCGTGACTCCGTGGCTTCTTTACGTATTCATTGTTGTGAGATGTGAGATTCTCATGATTCGGTGAAAAGTTTTGTAAGAATTATTGTGATATGTCACAAAACATGATCCAGCCTATTTTACCTAAAACATTTTTTTCCCATTAAGAAAAAAAAACTATATTGTTGAAACAATACGAATTATTATCTGAGATTGGAGTCGACATACTTTATTTGCATGTGATAGTCGTTGTCACCTACTACAAGTCAAAAGGATGAGATTGAACATAACCATAAAAAGGTATTCCGAAAGTAAAACTTGGTATTTATAAAAATAAGAACTTAACTTCATTATTTTATATATCTTCTTACTTTCATCCGAATTTTTTATATTTATCATCTTCGAAAGTGGTTTGAGAAAATTATATCATATTCATTAGGGATGTAACCGGTTTCATAACCGAAACTAAAATAACTAAAGACCGATTAAGAGTAACCGATAATCGTATCAAATACCACTAACTGTTTAAAGTTCCCAATCATTTTTTCGGTTAAAAAGATCGTCCCTAATATTCACCACCAAAATAATGTTTTTCTTTCTTTCTTATAAAATGAACTACAACCCTTAAGGGTTTTATTATAAAAAGGTTAATTTAGGTCTCAAACATGTGCATACTGCATATACCTTATTTTTTCACGTAATATTCTGATAGGTATGATTTAATTATCAAAGAAAGAGTAGGAAAGAATAAACAAACATATGACAACATAAATTAAATATTAAATCTTTCTTTCATCTTTTCCACCATTCACAAATTTTCATTTTTTTCAAATATTACAACTCCAAAAACTCCTTTGCCACATGGATTTGAAAAAGACCAAGGAAAGAAACCCACCTCAAAATTTTGATCTTTGTTCTTTGAACAACTCTATATCATCCTTTCAATAATCTGATCCAAAATTATATATTTTCATTAATAAACTAGAATAAAAAAAAGTAAATAAATAAATAAATTCTTTAATTCAACTTTACTTCACTCACCATCATTTTTCTTTGCTAGATTTTTAGCAAACAATAAACATATCACCAAGAATCCAACTCCTGCTGCCCCTCCCAAGATAATCGCTATCGTTTTCCCTGTATTTGATCCCGTATCTACAAACCCAAATCAAAAAATTCACCAAATTTCAATCAAAATCATTAGATTTAAAAGACGATGGTAATAAGTTAATCAGTTAATCACATAATCAACCATACCTGATGACGATGAAGAAGAAGAATATGGTGAAGAATATGAAGAAGACGAAGATGATGATGAAGAAGGTGATGAAGATGATGAAGAATATGAAGAAGACGATGATGACGACGACGATGATGAAGATGACGATTTCTTGGGATTCGGGATTCCATTAGGGTAATAACTGTAACTAATGAAGCATTTATGAAGATAAATTTGTCCAGAAATGGAGCTCCCACATTCAACTTGAGATCTCTGAACAGCACTTTTAACACAATCTCCACAATCAGAACTTCCTAAATCACCTTCACATTGCCCCAAAACATAAATCGATTCATAATTCGTCGTATAAAATCCACCGTTTCCACTCCCAATCCCACTTTCCAAACTTCCCAAAGCAGAATCCCTCTTCTCTTCAAACCCAATTCCACCAGCGTTTGTTTCCCCACACGTCTTGTAAAGCAATTCCATTCCGGAGATTTGAGAGAATCCGGCGACTTCATAAAGCATATAACAACCCAAAAGCTGGAGTCTTGCAGCCACTGTTTTCCCACAGAGCTTGTCCATCAAGATTGGGAGTCTGCTCACACAGTTATAGCAATCGAGATTTGTTAGATCGCCTCTACATTGAAAAAGACCGGTGATTGATGCTTGACCACTGCCACTTGTCGTCTTGAAGAACATTGCTTTTGACGACTGTTGAATCAGTGTCCCGAAAATGGCGGAAAGGGCAGAGGAGTAAACTCCATTGGGATCTTGTAAAGATTGCTTTGCACATCCTTTGTATACTAAATTGGTGTTATCTGGTGCAGATTTAACCACTTGAATGATGATGGGAAACAAGAACAAGAACAAGGAGAAGGGTATTATGGGTAGCTGAGAACACATATTTGAGATGGTTTTTGGATGGACTAAATCGTCATGTGTATGGGAATTTGGGAGAGATTAGAGAGAGTTTGAGAGGTGGATGTTTGAAAAAGTGATGATTTTTTTATTCTTGAAGTAAAAATTTAGGTTTTCAGCTTGGCATAAATTTTAACTTTATGAGGATATTGGATGTGGAGAGGGTATGAGTATCAACTTTAACTAGGGTAGCACTATTTCAAAAAAACAAGTGCATGTCATGTGTGAGAATTATATATATATATATATATATATATATATATATATATATATATATATATATATATATATATATATATATATATATAACATTTTATTATTGTGTGAATATATGACCAAATGGTAAATTTGTTAATTGAATTAATTATCATTAAAGTTAAAACTCTATAATTATGAAATACAATTCAAACTCCAAATATCTTACATGTTTAATCTCCAATAATTATTCCTAGATATTATCACAAAAACCTCCACCATCTTGAACCTTCAAGCCATCATCTCTTGGGTTAATGACATAGAAAGGTATTGGGTTAATGACATAGAAAGGTAACGTAGTTTAGGGTTTGTACACATTAAGGTAACAATGTTTTTTTCGTATACATTTGACAATTGAACTTGTTTGACCTGTACATATTAAGGTAATATGACCGATGATCGTAGGTTTTTGCTGATTTGGCATATTACGTGGCATTAAATGAAATTACTTGGCATTTTTGACACATTATGTGAATGGTAATTGGAATTAGGGCTCATAAACAAAAAAACCCACCGCTTTCATTCCTTCGTTCCATTGTTCCCCTTTCTCTTCGTTCTCAATGTCGAACCTTTGCAATTGAAATCACTTTCTATTTCTTCGACTGTAATGGCGAAGGGATCATCCCTCATCGTAGATGTCCACTATAATGGTGTATTTTCCCCCAACCCCTTGTATATTTCGACCCAGACATCGCATCTGTACGAGATGTCGACTTCAACGCTATGGTATTTTCAGATTTCATTACTTTCCTTGAAAAGCTCACATAGAAGATCAACTGCAAGGATGTTTACTACTATCTTCCACATGAAAGGTTGAGTGAAGGGTTAGGAGTAATTCAGAATGAAGGAGATTACAGAGAGTTCCTTGAGATTGGTAATGAAAGCCAAGAAAAAAGAATTAATGTGTACATTGATCAGTACAATGAACCCATTTTTGATTGGCTCGAGGAGGAGAATCCTGATGAATATGATTCGGTTGTAGAGGATGAAGACGAAGTTGATGATTCTACATTTTCGGATGTGATTTTACCTGACCATGAAGAGGATGAGGTGGTGTCAAGTAAGAAACCACTTGATGATTCATTTCTTAATGCCCTTTGTCCTAACAAGAAATCAGAAGATGGTTCCGACACAAATGCAACAGACGAAGAAGTTGATGTGAAACCAATGTATCCCGTCCATGATCCAAACCAAAATTGGAAGAAGATGGTTCCTATACTAGGTATGAAGTTTTCTGACCCCGATGAGCTTAAATGTTTACTGAGTAATTATGCTGTTAGACATGGATACAGTTTATGGTATGAAAAAAGTGATAAGAACAGGTTGTTAGCTAAATGTAGCAAAGGTACAACACATAAATGTCCATTTAGACTTTGGGCCACTTGGATGAAGGACGGACATTCTTTTCAAATTAAGTCACTAAAAGATGATCACAATTGCTCCAGGTCATTCAAACTTGGAGCAATTGTGAGTTATAGGTGGATTGGGAAGCATTTTGTTGATAAAATATTACAAAGACCAAAAATGAGCTTAAGGAAAATGAAAGCTAAAATTTCCAAAAAATTTAATATTAATGTTAGTTTGGGGCAGTGTAGAAATGCAAGAAGGTTTGCATTAAGTAAGATTGAAGGTACTTTGGTTAAGCATTATGGAAGGTTGTGGGATTATGGTGAGGAGATTATGAGGTCTAACCCAGGGCCTACGGTAAGAATGGATGTGGACATCATGCCTGACTCAACTATATATTTTTCAAAGTACTATGTCTGCTTCAAAGGTTTTAGGGATGGTTGGATAGAGGGATGTAGAAAGGTGATTTGTGTAGATGGCTGCTTCTTGAAAGGCTTGTGTAAGGGTGAGCTTCTTGTAGCAGTGGGTAGAGATGCGAATAACAACATCTACCCTATCGCGTGGGCTGTGGTAAATGTTGAGAATGAAGTTAATTGGAAGTGGTTTCTTGACATTCTCATGGATGACATTGGAGGGGGCAATGGTAGTGGACTTACTATCATTTCATATGGACATAAGGTAGTAGATTGCTTATTTTTTGCTTTATGCTTTTTACTTTTAATTGTTTAACATTAAGTTTTACATTTACCAGCATGTTTTAATTTTGACAGGGATTGTTAGAAACTGTGAAAGAAAGGATTCCAGAAGCTGAGCATAGGCAATGTGCTACGCACATCTATGCTAATTTTAAGAAGAAGTTTGATGGTGAACATTACAGGAAATTGTTTTGGGCTGCTATAATTAGTACCACTGTACCACAGTTTGAAGAAGCCATGGATGGAATTAAGAAATTAGACCTCAATGCCTATGATCATCTTATTCAAAGGGAACCAAAATCTTGGTCAAAAGCTTTCTTTGTAGAAGGGAGGAACTGTGATGTTATGGAAAATGGTGTCTCATAAAGTTTTAATAATGCAATCAGGGATGCTAGAAGAAAGCCGATCATCACAATGTTGGAATAAATAAGGGTTTGGGCCATGGAGAGGATGTATAATCAAAGGATTATGGGTGAAGAGTGGGATTTGGATATTTGCCCAACAATTAGAAAGGAGTTAAAAGATAATAATATAACTCAAAGGTGAGTAACATAATGTTTCAAATTTACATTAGCTAATGATTGATTTGATTTGGGGTGTTAACTTGCTCTTTTTTTTATAAAGATTTTGGGGAGTTTATCCAAGTGGCTATCAGCAATTTGAAGTAAGATTTGGTAATGATGCATTTTTTGTGGATCTAATCAGAAAGGTATGTGAATGTAGAAGTTGGCAGTTGAGAGGTATCCCATGCTTGCATGGCTTGGCTGCAATTTCATACCTGAATCATAATGCAGAGTCGTATGTGGCACGTTGTTTTAGCAAACAAAGTTTCCTTTCAAGCTACACTTACAATGTCCACCCTTTAAATGGTAGTCCAATGTGGCCGAAAACAATTTATCAGAAGCCTTTACCTCCAAAAAAAGAAGACTACCAGGCAGACCAAAAGTTAAACGAACAAAGGATAAGTCAGAAGACTACCAACGTATGATAATATTATTTTTTAATAACGAAAGATTTAAATCAACGTATTCTTTAAGAATGAAAGGTTGTAAAGAAGAGGATTTGTTGTTCAAGAATGTTGCGGGTATTATAAATATATGTATTGGAAAACCATAAAAAACAACAACATGTTCTTCATGACTAATGATAGATTTTTCAAGAATGATGAGGTGTATTCCTTGAGAATTTTACTTCTCAAAAAAGTGTATATGTTAAGAACGAAATAATCAAAATACGTATTGTGCTATGACAATGATTTCTACCATTGGTAATTCTTTATTAGCTTCCGGTTCTACTTGGGGAGGTTGTTCTATTAAACAACTTGTGTCAATGAAAACAAGTTACAAAATAGTATTACAATTGTTTTAGAATACTGTAAACTAAACCATTCTAGTATTCTAAAACAATGTGAAGTCTTCTAGTGTACTTTTTTCACATTATTCTCAAAGAATTGTTTGCTTCCCTTTACTACCCAATGTATTTTGAGATAATTGTTTACTTTCTTTTAGAATACTATAAACTAAACCATTCTAGTAACCTACTGTATTCTCAAACAATTTGATGTCTTGTTGTGTACTTTTTTTCACATTATTCTCAAAGAATTGTTTACTTTTCTTGACTACCGCACATTATTCTCAAAAATTTGTTTACTTTCTTTTATTCTAAAAGAATACCTAAGTAAATAAGTTGTGCACATAAAAAAGCCGATGTACAGACCTATCGTTGAATACACAATCATAAAATCATGCTTTTACACAGTTAATCTAATAACCAAAACCATTGTAATAACCATTTTCATGTACATACGTTACAAGCACAACCATTTTCTAACCCAACTTTACTCTAACATTAACCTTGTACAACTAAAACCAATCTACAATCCGATATAATAAACCAGTTCATCTAAACAAACAAAGCATTGTAAGAACCATTTATTCTTAGAAAATGAATTATACAAGCATAATTTTGTTTTTGAAGAACTACTACTATTGCCAGCAACACCTACAAACCCAAAATCCCCTTAACATTGTCACAAGATCAAACTTGTTATAAACTCAAATTAATACAAGATTATCAAAGAAGAGGTGCGCATTCTTACAGAAAGTATGATTCTAAACCTTATTCTGGAAGAATAAATTAAAAATTAAAAAAAACATGAAAGAATCATAACTTCACTTAAACCCTAACCTATTATAAACAAAAATGCATACAAGATTCTCATACAATACATGTACGTTCTTACATAATATCAAATGTTCACCCTTATTGTGGAAGAATAAATTGCAAAAGATAAAAAAAACCTTGCTTGTGGTTGATTGACAAAATCACCATCGTCATCGACAAGTCTCAGTGGCTCATATGTGGTGTTTGAGAACTTCGATTTGAAATTCTTTCATAATCATTAGCTTGATCTCCTTCCCATTCTTCAATTATTGAGATCGTAGCTGCTTCTTTGCCTTGATTGTAACCTTGTGTCGCTTCTTCTTATAGGTCTACAATATTTTAAGAATTTGGGATATGAAATCTTTTATAATGGATAATTGATTTGTTTTGGGGAAAATTCCCCTTACTAACATGGAATGATATTAGCCGCTGGAACAAAAGATCGAGTTGTATGCATGTAAAATGTTGACTTCCATTTATAAGACAGACCAAGAATGACTTAATTAACTGTAATAACTTTATTATCACCCTTTTAATTAAAAAAATTAAATCATAGATTATTATAATTAGGCTCCATTCTTAACCACTTGATTTTCTAATCCAATGCTTCCATTCAGTCAAACATTCACACTATATTTACATTTACACTATATTTACCATTCACATTTACTCACACACACACACACACA